GGCAGTGGGTTGGACTAGAAAACCTCCAAGGTCTCTTCCAACTCTATTATTCTATTTCTAACTTGGGGGTGGGGTTTAATCCTAGCCCTTTCGCAATGACTCCAGGCTAACTCCATGCTTGATCCCTCTTCCCTGCTAGGCTGGATGCTCGTCAACACTCTCCCAACCATGGAACATAGACCAATTCTTAGACTGTAAAGGAAGGTGTTCTTTAATTATCCATTATGTACTACCTGCAATTCTAGTGCACTTTAACAGGAGGTAATTAGAACAAGAACTCTAGCCAGGCCATTCCTCTCTGAAAACGGTATAATCAACTAAATCAAGGCAAATGTCTCCCCTGGACCACTGAAGTCAGCTAGACCTTGATGGGCAAAGTTGAATTTGGAGTCCATCAAGTGTTCCTTGAGAAGGACAACCTTAGGGAGCTACCCAATTTCCAAACTATGTACTAACTATCTCAACTTGCTAGTATGAGTGCTTGAGAATGAGAAGTGCGTGCTTCTCATTCAGCTCACTATATGTTCAGACACCAATCTAATCCTTGCATCACTTCTCCTGACTCTGATGACAGGGGAAACTAGATAGCATCTCATTGGCAAAAAAAAAAAATAATAATACCCTGATGAGCTCACCTTTTTCATATGGAAGTTAAAAATCAAGGATGTGACAGAATGAGTCCTTGCAGTTTGCTGTGGCTTAGCTGCCAAAAGGCCAAACACAAGATCTCTGAAGTTCTGATCTAAAGTTAAATCTAGAAATAGAAGCAGAAATATTGAAGAGCAGTGCCTGCCACAGCAATGCCAGACAGTCAACTATAGTTGCTGTAAAAAGCAGCTGTCAACTCTAAAATGATCAGCAGAATTGTACTCCTGTCTTTCTCCTGCTCCCTGATAAAGCAGACTGCTTATCACAGCAGTCAAAGAAGTTTTGCCAAAAAAAAAAAAAAAAGTTTTGCAAAACCAGCTCTGAAATCATGTTGTCCAAAAATGCTTGCTGCAAGCTTGTTGACCATTATTCTCACAATTATTTTTCTCAATACAGAATTCTCAAGCATATTTAGATCTTTTATAGGAGGAGTCAAACTTTGCCTTCAAAACAGAGGGAAATATCCCCTAGTGCAATGGTTCTCAACCTGTGGGTTGGGACCCCTTTGGGGGTCGAATGACCCTTTCACAGGGGTCGCCTAAGACCATCGGAAAATACATATTTTCAATGGTTTTAGGAATAATTTTATGGTTGGGGGTCACCACAATATAAGGAACTGTATTAAAGGGTCACGGCATTAGGAAGGTTGAGAACCACTGCCCTAGTGTAACAAGGCATTTGCACTCATTTCTTTCTCTCTTTTTCTTTGCTGTATATCCTTTAATATTTCCATTTATGTTTGCAGTTATAAGAATAAAAGACTAATAGAAACTAAAAAAGGAAAAAAAATCACAAAAAAGGGGATAGAAGGTACATAAAAGAAAATATAAAGAAAAATTAAAAATAAGAATAAAAAATAACATATTCACCTTTGTTACAAGGTCAAACAATTTCAGTAACTTATTATCATTTCTGAAAATACAACAAAAGATCTTTTCTTCCCACATCTCCTCACTTATCTATAAACAAATCATTCAAATCTCATCATTTGCCTTCAGTCCTTCACCAGTAAGAATTACCAGCAAACAATATGTTTTAATGAAACAAATCAACTTTATATTTCTTCCTTTAACATAGCAAATTATCATTTTTCTTAAACATATCACAAAGATACTTATTTTCCAAATCTTAAAACTTTGTCATTCAGTCCTAGTCAGCCAAAATCCATTAAGGGTTATCAAAAACAACATATATATTTTAACCTTGATGAAATAAATCAACTTAATATCCTTTTCTTTCATTTCATCAAGTTTGATCTTTAGTCACTTTATATAATCTCCTTCAGCTTGATTTCTTTTCCTCTTTGTTTCTTCTCAGAATTTTTTTTTAAAGATTGTCCCATTTAAGAACATTTACCCTTGGGAAAGTTTCTTATAATTAATTTCAAAATTATTTCAAATCCCTCTGGATGCTTAAACTGTTTATTACTTTCTGAAATCAAGATTCTATTCATCTTTTTGCTGTGTATTTTCCTCCCATATACACCATTTTTTTAATGTCCCCAATCTTGCATTTTAAACTTCTTTCTCCAAGGATTGAAGAAGACTCACCCAGTGAATGCTATAAAACCTGTGATCCAAAGGTTCTTAATTGAACAGCAGTTAAAAAGCAATTCTAAAAGTGAGTAAGAAATGAAGCTTGACTGAGATTTTGTCCATACAGGTTCTGTTAATGGCTATGAACATGATAGAGTTCCTTTGACTCCCAGCTGCACTATGCATGAACTCACCATAAAAACCTGCAGTCTACTCATGAGAAGCAGCTGTCCAGAATACATATGGGCAATCTCATGAACTCAGAGAGATTAAAAGCAGCCACTGATCTTTGGTGCAATGCCATCCCTGTACTTTCAAGGGCATTCTGATCAAACTCTCTGTATTTCTTCTACATCTCAATATTAAGACAGGCATGGATCAAGACTGTATGTGGTACATTTAACAAATTTAAATACAATACCCCATCTTTATCAGATGGAACTAGAAACTGAATCTAAATCCCCCAAAATTAGAACAAACTGATCTGACAATTTTTAAAGAAACTTTTCATCAAGTTTCATATGAAGATCAACAATAATATACTTAGCAAATCTATTATGGCAGGTAACTGAAGCCTCAGAAGCTATTGCTCCGAGGCATCTTCTCAGAAATTTCTTCTTGCCTACAACGATTCTGCCACACAACATCTTTAAGATGCAGTGGAAGAAGTGCTTTTTTTTCCTGGCCTCCTTCATTGCTATATCACAGGCAAATATAACACCTTCAGCTGTGTCCTTTTGCATTCGTCTTTAAATTTATGCTACTGCCATGCAGTCCATTTTATTATTTGAAATAGATCTGAGAAGCAACAGGCATTCCAGGTCTCATAGCACTGAACAGAGGATTTAAAGGGAACTAAACTAAAAGAAGCTTCTTGGATGAGAAGCAAAATGTCTTTAAAGAAAAAAACAAAGTCTTTCTAACAAAATTTGTTAGGAAAAAAAAAGAAAAAAAAAAGTTGCCTCATGAAAAAAGCATCTTGGAGACTTTATTTATTTATTTTTTTTATTTTTTAAAAATTTTTATACCACCCCCTCTCCCGAAGGACTCAGGGCGGTGAACAGCCAAGATTAAGAAACATCTGATACGAACATTAAAATGCATTTAAAACAAAATTAAATCCAATGGCTTTCTCCAGTTTAAAACCCCATTACCCATAAAATTCACCAATAAAAATTCTAAGCCAGCCCGGCTTGCCGAAATAAAAACGTTTTCAGAGCCCGGCGAAAGGTTCGGAGGTCTGGGATCAGTCGTATCCCTGGGGGTAGCTCATTCCAGAGGGCGGGTGCCCCCACAGAGAAGGCTCTTCCCCGGGGGGTCGCCAGTCGACATTGCCTGACTGACGGCACCCTGAGGAGACCCTCTCTGTGGGAGCGTGTTGGCCGGTGGGAAGTTATCGGTGGCAGAAGGTGGTCTCATAAATAACCGGGCCCTAAGCCATGGAGCGCTTTGAAGATGAGAACCAGTACCTTGAAGTGCACCCGGAAGACCACTGGAAGCCAATGCAGCTCACGCAGGAGAGGTGTTACATGGGAGCGCCATGTCTCCCCCATAAGTACCTGCGCGGCTGCATTCTGCACCAGTTGGAGCCTCCAGGTGCTCCTCAAGGAGAGCCCAATGTAGAGAGCATTGCAGTAGTCCATGCAGGAAGTGATGAGGGCATGAGTGACCGTGCATAAGGAGTCCTGATCCAGAAAGGGGCGCAACTGGCATATCAGGCAAACCTGATAGAAAGCCCCCCTGGCCACGGCCGTCATATGCTCTTCTAAAGACAGCCGTGCATCCAGGAGGACACCCAAGTTACGCGCCCTCTCCGTGGGGGCCAATGTGTTGCCCCCAATAGCCAGCGATGGCACTAGCTGGCTATATCGGGACGCCGGCAACCACAGCCACTCAGTCTTGGAGGGGTTGAGTCGGAGCCTGTTTCTCCCCATCCAGACCCGAACGGCCTCCAGGCACCAGGACATCACTTCAAGGGCATCGTTGGGATGGTCTGGGGTGGAAATGTACAGCTGAGTGTCATCAGCGTACAGATGGCACTGCATCCCAAAACCACGGATGATCTCACCCAGCGGCTTCACATAAATGTTGAACAGGAGAGGTGAGAGGACCGACCCTTGCAGCACCCCACAAACCAGGTGCCTTGAGGTCGACCTCTGCCCCCCAGCCAACACGGACTTAAGAAAAGGAGATGCACCAGTGGTGAAATCCAAATTATTTTGCTGCCGGTTCTTTGGGCGTGGCTTGGTGGGCGTGGCAGGGGAAGGATACTGCAAAATCACCGTTCCCACCCCACTCCAGGGGAAGGATACTGCAAAATCACCATTCCCACCCCACTCCAGGGGAAGGATACTGCAAAATCTCCATTCCCACCCCCCACTCTGGGGCCAGCCAGAGGTGGCATTTGCCGGTCCTCCAAACTACTCAAAATTTCCGCTACCGGTTATCTGAACCTGTCAGAACCTGCTGGATTTCACCCCTGAGATGCACCCAAAACACAGGATGGCTGTCAAACAACTAACCCAAATTTTAATTGAAATACTTGCCCCTCAAATGCCCTACCTTTGCCTGCATAGAAAGGCATACCTTTCTTCTCCTTAACTCTCCTCTCCACAATGGGCATATAGGCAATCCCATGTATAGAAGTACTAATGTTTTAGGTTTTTGTATGCAGGGCAGTGAGAAAAGTGTACCAGATTCATCTGAGTTCTTGAAACTGTTTTCAGACTTAGCATGTATTTCAGACTAGCTGGACGCCTGTGCTTTGTTATGAAACTATGTGATCGAGCATGATAAATTGATGCTTAAAGCCTGAAACATAATGTAGAATGTGTAATTCTGTAGCATCAGAGCATGTTAATATAAGGCAATTGGCAGTTGGAACAGAGGGGGAGGAAGAGAAGAATGTCCCAGCCCGCAGGCCAGATGAATCATGTGCTGGCCACGTCCACTTCTGATTTAGTGAAGGGGTAGCATCAGAGTGTGTTAATATAAGGCAACTGGCAGTTGGAACTGAGCTCTTTTCAGGTGGAGAGGAGGAGTAGAACGTCTAACTCCTTAACATTAGAGTGTGTGATTATAATACTGTATATGAAATACTAATGATCTGATGGTCATTTCAAAAAATCCTTTTTTAGCAAGCACCTAGAAGCCAAGAGGAACATAAGTGCCAAATTTCAGGTTTGTAGGCTTTACCATTCTGGAGATTTCGTGATGAGTGAGTGAGTGAGTGAGTGAGTGAGTGGGTGAGTAAGTGGCTTTTATATATATAGATGAATCAGAAGCAATTTAATATAAAACTATTTTTTTCCTCAGTACCCTTCTAGAAGTGCTGGGACAAATACCTTCCCAAATTCCTGAGCTGACTAAGAAGCTAGGGAGTTTTGAGATCAATGCATCTGGAGGTATTGATTTGAAAGTGGGGTGTGTGTGATAAGATTTCTTGTCTTGATAATCCATTGTCTTCATACTTTCCATTGTACAATGTAGTGTGGAAAGCATTATGCAAATAAATTGTAATATTGTTTTTAATGTGTTACATTTTTTCTCCTCAAACCTTCCTTTTCATAGATCATTGGAGACTTCACCACTTTTCTCAGATGAAGCACAACCAAGGGAAAATATCTTATATTGTATTTTCTATTTAGCCATCAACCATGAAAATTATAGTCATAGCAACTTTGATTCAACTGTGCATACTAAAACATTCTCCTTCATCTAAATCATTAAAGAAAAAAGAAAGGAGAAAAAACTAAAGCATCATTCATTGTTTGTGCGGTGAAAGAAAAGAAAGGAAAAAAACAACTTCAAGTGAACACTGTTATTTTAGTTGACCTTCAGTTTCCAAGAATACTTCCCAATTTAAAGAACTTCCTGAGAACAGCTGCTGTGGATATGCTTCTCTGCTCCCCCAGGTTTAATGACTTTTTAATAGGTAGAATTGTTTGAAGCATCCCATAGCTGAAAAATATTTCTCACTTCTTAAATAAAGGTGTCTTCCTGAAGTATAAAGAATTGCACTGTTTATATATTCTAACTGTGTTCACTTATTGCTTTTCTACTTCTCTGTGGAGTTCCTAACCAGACTTATAAAGCTGCAAGCTTCTGAATACTTTTCTTCAGTCAATCTAATTTAACTGGCCGTGCCCACTGATCCCTGTTATGTGAATCATATTTCTAGATTCTTGCATTACAAAGGAAGAGGGTTAATTGAAGAGGCTTCTTTATGTTGAATGCTCAAAAAGATTGGATTTTTTTCCCCCACAACAGGTAGCAGGACCTAGCTAACCTTGAGTACAGCTTGTTGTGCTTGGAGGGGAGACCACTAAGAAATTCCATAGCTGTAAATTAGAATAGGAAGTTGCAAAAAATATTCTAAAACAAGCTGGCAGCCAACCATTTTTACATCATGCAAAAAAAAAAAAAAAAAGAACATGGGGACATCCATACTGTTAAGTTGGGTGAATGAGGACGCAGCAAGCCAGAGTAGCTCGTGACAACAGCTCTTTATTATATGGTGAGACTCCAGCAACTCAACCTGGGAGCCAGCTCCCTTTATATACCTTACAACAGTAGTGGTCAGCCAATCAGCTGAGGGTCAGTTAATTCAAACTTCCCGCCAAACAAACCTATTTACATAACACTCCTCCCCTCCCAGAAGTCACTTGGGGTGTTATTTACATACAAAGTCTCTCAGGTGACTAGGGCATGTACGAGTCCTAGTTGACCTGTGCAGTTCAGTCGGAGGGGCGGCGTCGAGCAGGTCGGAGGGACTTTCTGTTTCTCCCTGCTCCGCCAATGAGGCCTCCGGGACCTCCTCGTGGGCGGCGACTTCTCCGGCTGTTTGGACTACCTCGATGGGGCGGCACTGGATACCAGAATCCTCAGCTAAGTCCTTCACTCTACTCGGGCTCGTGTTTTGTGCTTCTGCCTGGTAGTCATGGTCAGAGATGGGGTCGTCTAACTTGTCGTCGGTGTCTGTGGTTACCCGTTTTCTTAGCTGGTCAATGTGTCTGCACCAAACTCTCCCGTCCCCCATATCTACCCTGTATGATTTGGGCCCCGTGATTTCTGTGATTGTCCCGGCTTCCCAGAGTGGGCCCTGTCCATAGTTTCTAGCGTGAACCGGTGTTCCTATGGTGAATTCTCTAAGCTTCCTCTCCCCCGCCCTTGAAAACCTCTGGAGAGTAATTGGGGTTGAGCCTATCTAGTATTCCTCGGAGTTTCCATCCCATTAATAGTTCTGCTGGGCTTCGGCCTGTGGCTGTACAGGGTGTGGAGTGCTGCGCTATTAAAAACTTATCTATCCTTTCCTGCCAGTCTCCGGGGCTTAAACGTGAAAGGGCCTCCTTTGCTGACCTTACAAATCTCTCTGCCTGTCCGTTACTGGCCGGATGAAACAGGGCTGAAAGGACATGTCTGATCCCTAGTCCTGCTAAATAGCCCTCGAATTGTGTCGCGGTGAATTGTGGCCCGTTATCTGACACTAGGATGTCCGGTAACCCATGGGTGGCGAATAACTGTCTCAGCTCCCTGATGGTTGCGTCGGTGGTAGTGGCCTTCATTAGCTTGATCTCCAACCACTTGGAGAATGAGTCTACAATGACCATGAAGGTCTGTCCGTGAAATGGGCCTGCAAAATCAATGTGTATCCTGGACCAGGGTCCCTGGGGCCTTTCCCACTCCCTCACGGGCGCCATTGGTGGATCTGATCTGGACTCTTGGCAGGGCTGGCATCTCTCCACCCACTCGGTAATGTCTGTGTCCATGCTGGGCCACCAGACGTAGCTCCTGGCTAGCCCCTTCATTCTTACAATCCCAGGGTGCCCCTCATGCAACAATGTTAAAACCTTTTCCCGTAAACGTAAAGGAATAACAACCCGATCGCCCCATAGCAAACACCCCCCTTGCATTGTCAGCTTGTCCCGTTTTCCCGCGAACGGTTTAAATTCCCCGCTCCCAATCTTTTCCGGCCACCCCCTCATGACCCAACTTGCGACTGTCCGGATCACGTGGTCTTTGGTTGAGGCTCTCGCAACCTTGGCTGATGTTATGGGCCCAGAGTCCAAAACATCTATCAGCAGGATGGGGATGCCGGGTGTGGGGTCTTCTAGGCCGTCAGGTAGTGGGCATTGGCTGAGTGCGTCCGCATTGCCCATGTCCGCCCCTGGTCGATGTACCAGGCGATAGGAGTATGCTGCGAGGAAGATGGCCCAGCGTGTCATCCTGGGCGATAGTGCTGCCGGGGTTGGTCGATCTCCCGTGAGGAGACCCAGGAGCAGTCGATGGTCGGTGATTAGTTCAAAGTCCCTCCCAAACAAGTACTTGTGGAATTTCTTTACCCCCGAAACGGCGGCGAGGGCCTCCTTGTCGAGCTGGCTATAATTTCGCTCAGTGCTTGATAGAGTCCGGGAGTAGTACGCAATGGGCGCTTCTAGGCCATTCGGGAGTCTGTGGCTCAGGACGGCTCCCACCCCAAACGGGGACGCGTCACATACTAGAACAAGGGGAAGCGTTGCATTGTATTGTATTAAAAAGCTTTCAGCTGATAACAGTTTTTTGATGCCGGCGAATGCCCTGTCTTCAGCCTTCCCCCATTTCCATGTGGCTTTCTTGGTTAACAGTCTATGTAGGGGTTCTGCCACTGTTGCCTTGTCTTTAAGGAAGATGGCGTAAAAGTTTAATAGTCCCAGGAAGGCCTGTAACTCTGCCTTGTCTTTGGGGGTGGGTGCTTCTCTGATTGCCCTGATCTTGCTTTCTGTGGGGTGTATGCCGGTGCCATCTACCCTGTACCCTAGGAATTCGACTGAGGGAACTGCGATCATGCATTTATTTTGTTTTACTCTGAGTCCTGCATCCCTGAATTTCCTTAGGACTCCCCTCAGTCTTTCTCTTAACTGCTGCTCATTGTCGGCGGTAATGAGCACATCATCAAAATAGGGCACCACCCCGGGGATCCCTTGTAGTAGCCGCTCCATGGTACTTTGGAAAAGTCCGGGGGCTATGCTTACTCCGAATTGCAAGCGGGTGCACTTGAAGGCCCCTCTGTGGGTTACGATAATCTGTGCCTCTGCGGTAGCGCCATCTACCGGCAGTTGCTGGTATGCCTGCGCAAGATCGAGTTTTACGAAGATCTTGCCGGGGCCCAGGGAATGCAACAAATGGTGAACGATGGGCACTGGATAGGCGCTCTGCTGCAGGGCCTTATTAATTGTGCATTTATAATCAGCGCATATGCGCACTGATCTGTCCGGCTTTACTGGCGTAACAATTGGGGTCTCCCATTTGGCGTGGTCGACTGGAACAAGCACCCCTTGTTTGATTAATTTGTCCAGTTCAATGTCAATTTTGGGCTTCAGGGCGAACGGTACCCGCCTAGGCTTTAAGCGGATGGGTGCAATATTGGGGTTGAGGTTAAACAAAATCGGGGTCCCCACATACTTGCCCAGCCTTTCGTCGAACACGTCTTGGAACTCCTGCATCAGGTCTTCCTTCAGGGTGCTTCTAACGTTTCTCACTCCGGTGAATCCCATGCCTAGGGCTCTAAACCAGTCCATGCCCAGGAGGCTTGGGAGGTTGTCGCTGACTATGGTGAGGGGCAGTTTCTCGGTAAACTCCCCGTACTGTACTTGGAACTCGCCTCTTCCTTTGACGGGTATGCGGTTCCCCTGGTAGTCCTTCAATCTGCGTTGCTGTGGCTGGAGCTGTCGCTTGCGTGCGCTGGGGATGATTTTCTTTAGGTTTTCCCACGACATGATGGATATCGGTGACCCCGTGTCGATCTCCATCTGGCACTCCCGTCCCTCGATCTCGACCGTGGTGTAGGTCTTTTCTCCGGGCGAGGTACAGGTCTCTGTGATGCGGATGGTGTAGGCCCCAGCGTCTTCAAATTTCGCGCCCTTCCGGTTTCCGCCATCTCTGTTGGGCCTTCGGTGTGGTGCCGGCTCTGATTGGAAGGGTTGGCCACGTGGTTTGTAGCTCTGGTGTGCCTTGGATCTGCAGACCCGAGCGATGCGGCCCCTTTTTTCACAGGAACGGCAAATGGTGTCCCTGAACTTACAGTTTTGTCGTGAGTGGGACCCTCCGCAGCTGGCGCATCCGTCTCTGGGCTCCCTGCGGGCTGTGCGGGACTGCTCGGTGCGGTAGACCTCTTCTTCAGACTCCCCTTCGCTCGCGGTGCTCGTGGCTTCTCGGTGCACTGGTGCCGTCTTTTGCGTTGTTCTGGTTAAGTGGGAGCTCTTTAGTCTCTCTGCAGCCTTTGTTGACGACTCTTGTGCCCTGGCCTCGTCTAGCGCGATGAGTAGGGTCAGGTTTGACCTCGCAAGCAGCCTTCACTGGAGTCGGCTATCTCTCACTCCGCAAATTAGTTGCTCTAGGAGCATCTCATCCAGGTCTCGGTACTCACATTGGGTTGCGGCCTTACGCAGGGCAGCGATGTATTCGCTGATCGATTCGCCCTCCTGCTGTAGCCGTTGCCGGAAATCATAGCGTTGGACGTACTTCGATGGCATTGGTGCATAGTGGTCTTTCAGCAGGGTCTGTAGCGTCGACCAGGAAATGTTGTGGACCGAATTCGGCTCTGACAATGCTTCGGCTGTGTCGAAGACCCTTGGCCCGCAGTGGCTCAGGAACAGGGCTTTCTTCCGAACGTCCGGTAGCCCCTGCATGTCGTTTGCCACCATGAAGCACTCGAACCGAGACATGTAGGATCCCCACTTCTCTTCCTTGGGGTCGAAAGGCGCTGGCGGGGTGTAGGCAGACATCGTTTCGGGGATTCTCCTGTGCTCCGCTCGCTCGCCTGGCTGGATTCTGTTGCGGTCTCCGGTCCCCTCTCTGAACGTGGCTTCAGCTCTTTCTCGAGTGTGGCTTCAGCTCTCCTCTGCTTCTGGCCTCAAAATCCCACCTTCGTCGCCAATGTTAAGTTGGGTGAATGAGGACGCAGCAAGCCAGAGTAGCTCGTGACAACAGCTCTTTATTATATGGTGAGACTCCAGCAACTCAACCTGGGAGCCAGCTCCCTTTATATACCTTACAACAGTAGTGGTCAGCCAATCAGCTGAGGGTCAGTTAATTCAAACTTCCCACCAAACAAACCTATTTACATAACACATACAGTCCATGTAGTTACCAGAAATTGATCCTGAGTCTACAGAGATTTGCTTTAAACTATATTTAGTTTCTGACCAAGTCACTCTTGAAATACTTTGACCAGAAATGAGCACATCACTAAAGTAATGTGGCTGTAAATAAATGTAATGCAACTTTAGAATGCATCAAAGGTTTCCAAATCACAAAGAATTCATAATTTCACTTCATTTTGTGATTGTCAGATATCTGCCTGAGTCACTTCCAAATGTTATCTCATTTCTCTGGACCTAAAAAAACTGACTCAATTTCCCCTTTTGCTTAAGTAATAGTTCTTAGATATTTCTATCAAGGTCATCTTTCTGACTCTTCTGACAAGAAGGCAGTAAGGATGGTCAGGGAATGAGAAACTAAGTAGTGTGATGAGAGATTGACATAATTGACCCTCAAGAAGAAAAAGACTAAGGGGAGATATAACAGCATTTGTCAGATCTATGATGGGATATCACATTTCAGAATTCAGGGCATGGATTTACATTTCAGGAGGACAGTTCCAATTGAATGTTAGGAAAAGTTTCTAACCTTGAGAGCAGTTCAACAAAGGAACCGGTAATTATCTGGAGATGTGGAGGGCTCTTCCTTCACTGGATGTATTTAAGTAAAAGCTGGACAGCCATCTGTTGTCGATACCTTAATTTGTGTAAGTGCAGGAAGCTGGTGAGTTGCTCCTGATGGGCTAAATGACCCCCTCCAACTCTGTAATTCTATGGTTCTGTGAACTTTTATGTACTTCCAACAGTAGTTTAGAAGTGGGATTTTGCCAGTTGAAGTTTGTCCCACAGGAGACACATTGCCCAAAGCAGCATGTTCTATTCTTCTTTGTCTACAAATGATGCTGAGACAACTCAAAGTATATTTAACTAAGCAGATGGTGCAAAGTGAGTTTTGCAACAGAGTTGTCAAGGAGACTAAACTTTGAAAGAAAAAAAAGAAAAAAAGCTACCTTTCCTTTCTCTTAAAAGGAATTTCTCTCACTCTCTAATCTGGGAAATTATCATGACATTATTCTCTTTTCAAGAAATTGAGCAGCTTGGAGGGCTATAGAAGGAGTTGGATGACTTTCACATTGATCATTAAATGAAGGGAGGAGGCAGAGATCAAAGCAGCCCGATCATTTTAACCAAAATAAACTGAGTGACTGTCATGGAGTTTACAAAGGTACTCTATTGACTGATTCTTAAATTAAGAGTGGGTGGTCTTAATTTTTAAGACAAAATTATCTTAAGATAGATATTAATAAACAAGATGGTAGAAATATGGTAAACACAGTTGTTGTTAATCACGAAGTCGTGTCCGACCCATCGCAACCCCATGGACAACGTTCCTCCAGGCCTTCCTGTCCTCTACCATCCTCTGGAGTCCATTTAAGCTCACACCTACTGCTTCAGTGAATCCAACCACCTCATTCTTTGCTTCCCATTCTTCTTTTGCCCTCAATCATTCCCAGCATTAGGCTCTTCTCCAGTGAGTCCTTCCTTCTCATTAGGTGGCCAAAGTAATTGAGTTTCATCTTCAGGATGTGGCCTTCTAAAGAGCAGTCAGGGTTGATCTCCTCTAGGACTGACCAGCTTGATCACCTTGCAGTCCATGGGACTCACAGGAGTCTTTTCAAACAACTCAATTCTTTAGCGCTCAGCCTTCTTTATGGTCCAACTTTCACAGCCATATATTGCAACTGGGAAAACCATAGCCTTGACTATATTCACTTTTGTTGACAGGGTGATGTCTCTGCTTTTTAGTATGCTATCTAGATTTGCCCTAGCTTTCCTCCCCCAGGAGCAAGCGACACAGAGAGAGACCCAATTCTGGAAAAATCATGATAAGTAATCTCTTGTTTTCGCCCACTTTTTTACTCATAGAATGCTGACTACAGTGGCCAGATCTGTGAAGATGGGCAATGCCTTTCCCCCAGTTAGTAAGCTTAAGATAGTGACCATTTCCCATTAATTCTGAAATTAGTTAGACATATTTAGCATGTCTCCTGATTGGGGAATACCTCTGCTTCTCTAGCCTTTCTGGATCAGTAAAAAAAAAAAAGTATTTTTTTCCTGGCACTTGAATTAGAAGGGGAAAGTGGCAGAACTCTTGCCACTTTCAGCTTTCTTTATTCCATCCTTTCATTGTTTAATCAGTGAATTTGTAAAAAAAAGTTTTTTTAAAAAAAATGGTGGTGGAGGGCAGCAATCAGCGGGGAGGAACATTTTCATCAGAATACACTGTAGTCAGCTGGAATGGGAATGTTTCTTTACATTTAAATAAAATGCAGTAGATGAATCAGCCAGCCCTGACTGAGTTGATATAAGACATACAGCACTGGTTTTGACAGAAGCAGGAAAAAAAACAATCCAATGTTGTCTTTTCAATGAGCTGGGAAATGTAGAGGATGAATTGGCCAATGTTCATTCCTGACCCTGACCTCAAGAAATGATCAGTAGCCTATACTGATGCTGGGTAAAGCAATGGCACTTAGACTTATATATTGCTTCACAGTGCTTTACAGCCCTCTCTAAGCAATTTACAGACTCAGCATATTTTCCCGAACAATGTGGGTCCTCATTTTACTGACCTCAGAAAGATAGAAGGACGAGTCAACATTGAGATAGTGAGACTCGAACTGCCAAACTGCAGTCAGTCAGCAGCAGCAGCCTGCAGTACTATATTCTAACCACTGCACCACCACGGTCATAGTAAGCTGGTATACAGACACACAAATATAGATACATACACACACACACTCACATATACATATACACATGTATACATGCACATACACGGAGATGATTTACATATTATTTTTATTAATTAAAAGAAAGCATTTGGTTTTAATTCCAAGAAATGTATTTTGGATGAAGCTGGCACTTTCCCAAAGACCAGTGACTCCTTCTTCTGATTATGAAACTTCAACACAAATTTAGTTCAACAAGTGCTTGCAAAATATATTTATCAATTCTAGTCCAAAAATAAGTGAAACTGGAGTGCGTTTTGGCTCCCTTCCCTTTTAATCTCTTCATTTATCCCCAAATCCCAATTTTGTAGACTACTGTAGTGAATTTTACTTTCTTATATTGACTAGTTAGATCTACTTCATTTTCTTTGTGCTAATGATTTAGCTATCCTCTCCACAACACAAGTGTATTTGAGGCAGACTTCCAGCCATGGTTAAATATTATGGAAAAGAGAGATATGTCAACAAATATTCTTAAAACATTAAGTGGCAGTCATTGCTTAAAGACCCAGTAGCCATAATCAGGAATGGAAAATAACTAATGTAAATATGTGTGTACACTGTAATATCTAGGAATTACTTTTCAATCTTCTATCACCTGGAAGGAACAAATTAAAAGCTGACACTGATTTGGTCCCATAAGCCTGCTAAGGCAACCCTGTGTTTTGCAGATAGTGGAGGCACTAACTTTGTGCCTGTGGCCATAAGCAATTAACCTCATGCTCTTAGAAAGACTTAAGGTTTATTAAAATGGATCCAATCAAATTTTTAAGAAGTATTTCAGGTATCTTGGGCTATACCCAACTTGTTGTCTTTAGATTCAGGAAGTGCTTCTGTGGTAAACCATTCACTTCAGCAAGCTAGATGTTAATGAACATTTTGTCTGTGCTAGACTAGTGAGCAGTCTTCTTGGCAAGATATTTTGCCATCTAGGGGAGTAGAAGGGAAATATAATAACATCCCAATAAAACCTCAGTTATGTTCCTTCCAATTAGTGAATACTGTGTGTCTAACTCTCGTTTTATAGTTCTGCTCATTTTAGATAGCTCAGACTCAGACCTAATAACTACCTTGCTGCCAGATTGGTCTGAATGATCTGGTTTGAAGTAAATTCATCTCCTTTTGGCTGTTCTGCCTTGAACAATATCTAATAAGAAGCCGAATTTTGTATTACTTTTCATGGTGCTAGGAGGCTAATAATTTAAAATATCTATTTATTGAATATTAAATAATGCAATATATTTATGTGTAAAGGTAAAGGTAAAGGTTCCCCTCACACATATGTGCTAGTCACTCCTGACTCTAGGGGACAGTACTCATCTCCGTTTCAAAGCCGAAGAGCCAGCGCTGTCCGAAGACATCTCCGTGGTCATGTAGCCTGCATGACTAAATGCCAAAGGCACACAGAACACTATTACTTTCCCACCAAAGGTGTTCCCTATTTTTCTACTTGCATTTTTTATGTGCTTTCGAACTGCTAGGTTGGCAGAAGCTGGGACAAGTAATGGGAGCTCACCCCATTACGCAGCACTAGGGATTCGAACCGCTGAACTGCCAACCTTTCAATCGACAAGCTCAGCGTCTTAGCCACTGAGCCACCATGTTCCCTTTTATGTGTACATGTATGTACATTATGTGTACATTGTACATTTATGTGTACAATGCAATTAATAAGAGTATTTAGGTTTTTATCTTTTTTTTTAACCTTAAGAGTTTCATTTTATTGTTTTTACATCCTGTTTCACAGGATGGCACAAATCACCCTGGCTGACTCACCCTGCCTGACTCATTGCAGCCAAATTGAAGTGGGACCATTATTTAACATGGGATAACTCAGGAGAGGGACAAGAGGAACATGTGACTCCATGCTCTGACTCATCCAAGTTTCGGTGA